TTGAGTAGTTTAACAGTTATCCTATAAACATTTATTTAGTCTTAATATAGGATTTTGTCATTAAAGAACTTAAAATTTGGGCTGGGAGAGGGAAGGCAGTGAGCAGATATTTCAGTGGTAAATACATAGAAATAGAGATATATTGTCAATATTTATACTTCTAAGAAATGAACATTTTCCTTTTGGGGATCAAATTATTCCTTTTAAAACTGACAGTATATAGCATGTAAAGAAAAAATATTCTGAACACAGATTTATGAATTCAGTCTCTTTTTATGCTCCATTAACATTCTTTTTGGAGTAAGATGTGGCATCTTTATTTTGCTTCAGTAATGCATTTCATTGTTCCATTTTCTCCCTCCCCCTCCTTAGTGGCCTCTCCTTGCTTATCCTCAAGCAACAGGGCATCACCTCTCTGCAGTTCCAGTCCCTGAAAGAAATCAGTGCGGGAAACATCTATATTACTGACAACAGCAACCTGTGTTATTATCATACCATTAATTGGACAACACTCTTCAGCACAATCAACCAAAGAATAGTAATCCGGGACAATAGGAAAGCTGAAAACTGTAGTAAGTACATTATCCTGACATTTAAAACGTAGAACTTTAAAAATGTTCTCCCATTCTACATTGGACTAAACAATTAAAAATAACAACAGGTCAGAATTGTTGCTCTTATCCCAACACTTAAAAAAGAAGGTAGTTATTATAATTACCAACATGGTATAAAATAATGAGAATAAGTGACTTTCTATAACATGTTTGCACATCTTGCTTCACCTTAAGAACCTTCCTGTGGAGATTTAGATTCAATAGGTCTATGTGGAAACTGGGCATTTAAATGTTTAATAATCATCCCAGGTAATTCCAGGGATCCAATCAGTTTGTGGAAATCCACCGTATTGAATTATCTGTTTGCTGTTTGGTTTCAGTGAGGTCAGTAACACAGTACAGCATTTTGCCATTTGAGGGTGTTGGGAAAAGTGAAGGTATATTCTTCCAAAGAGCATAAAAAATACTAATCAAGAAGTTTACTCTTCAAGAAGTTTTATTGTTCAAGAAAAAAGTTCATTTTATAAATGCATTTATGTAGACATGTTATTATCTCTTTTTAAATCTATTTTGCTATTTATTGATCTATTTCATCATCTTTGTTACACCAAAGCAAATAATGTTTTTATAGGCACATAACTATGCCATTCCTATCTAATATATTGATATTCTGATGACTAATACTTAGTTTCCCCCTGTTTTTCTACTGAGTACTACTCTTTTCTACATCCTATGAGTGTCACTATTATGCATATAACCACTTGACTTATTTATGGTAAATACTAAATAAAAAGTCTCAGAACTCAAATGATCTGTCTGAAAATGCATATTCTTATTGTGGGTATGGACTAAGTCCTTTCTAAAAGGCAAATTCCCTAAGAAAAGTTTTGCTCTTAGGGTGTTTTCTCACTTCTTTGATGTCACCTTCAGAAGAATCGTAAGAGTACACATAAATAACGATTGACTTTGTGTGTATGTGTGTGTGTGTGTGTGTGAGTGTGTGAATAAATACTGGGAGACATTTTTTAAATTATAAACTCTTAAGAGCTCAACATGATTTAAGTTTACTGAGTTAAGTAGTCAATGAATTAATTTATTTATTAATATCCCACCTTGTTCCCGAAAGGGTTTAAGACAGCTCAGTCCAGCAATTTTCATAAACTATAACTTGTAATTTATGAAGAATGCATTTATAGTTTAGCTGTTTCAATCCTTAAGAGATATCTCTTGCAATATGAAGTTTCTAATTTGATTGAACTTAAATTCCTACATATTCTTAAATTCTTACACATTCCACATAGAATCAAGAAATATAAACTCTACAGCTGGGTGTGGTGGAATGAGCCTGTAGTCCCAGCAACTCTGGAGGCTGAGGCAGCAGAATCACAAATTCAAGCCCAGCCTGGGCAAAGTAGTGAGACCCCCAATTTCCAAAAATGAAAAATAAAATATACAACCTATTTACATATCAAAACATGCATGTTTACATTGAATGATATTCATCTTTTCATTTAGTCTGGATTATTTCCTTCATTTTATACATTGCTGATTCCTGACAGAAAGTTTGCTTTGCTTTTTTTTCTAATATTTGGCTTTTTACCCCATATTTCTCTATGTGTGTGTAAAAGC